AAAAAAGAGTTATAACCAAATATCACGTAAGGTATAATCAAACAACTCTTGGATCATAACTAAGATAACATTATAGCCAACATCATAATAGATCATTACTAATATAACAACATATTATAACCAAACATCCATAATAATAAATTATAACCAAATATCACAAAAATAGTAACTATAGATGGAGGGTACACACCATCTAATTTCCCCCGAAACCTTACTTATATAAACATGGGCCTACTTGATACACAATCCGGTCAACCCATTTATCCCCTTATAACCTCAATCATGACCTATTTGAAAAACAGGAGAAATTATTATTCAGTAGTAACTTTCAAAAATTATAACATATTAATAAAAGAAATTATAATTATAATTATTAATATTTATAATGTTGATCACTTTTTTATAATTAAATTTTTTTGATAACTATTATATTGCTATTTGTCCCCAAAAATAATAAATAAATTTGTCACCTCTCAAGCCTTGTGACAACACCACACACTCATCTAACTGAGCGTGCAAGGCTAATAGTCTAATCAAACAAATCACCAAAATAAAATATTCAAATAAATCTTTAATTATCATAATGCCAAACTCCATAAGTCATAAACAATCCTTATCATATGAAATTGTCCACCAACTCTACTAATGTAGAAAGGTGTTGATTGAATTTCTTCATAAACAAATTCTTCTTTCTAGTTGAGAGCTTCTCTCTCTAAACTTTTCTCCTCTTAGGCTTCAAGTGTGCAGCGGCCATCGGGATAGGAGATGGGCTTTCGGCAGTCTCCAACCTCCCCTGCCCTTCTCCTACCCCTATTTTTTCTTTCCTTTCCTTGGTTTTGTCAAATAACTTGGAAGCTTTGGCTTTCCATTCTCTACCTTCTTTGTGAGGTGTTTGTTTTCCTTTACCTCAACTTCGGCCGTGGCTTTCGTTGAATCCACCTTCTCTCCTCCGTCCCGTCTCCTTCCATCGTAGTCCATCATCGTCAGTTTTGCCGCCTTTCATCACCATCTCTGTCGCCTTCTCCAAGCATGCCGGATGCCGCCTCCCTTCCCCTACTCTGCCACCTCCATCCCTGCCAGATTCACTGTCGCCGTTGCTGATGCTTTGGTTTGTGGGTTATTCTGCCTTTTGTTTTTTCCTGGTTTTTCTTTGGGTTTGCCTTGCTGTTGGTAGCTATTTTATAGTTTGTTTTGTGGGTTTGTTTTATTCTTCTAGTTTTCTATGGTTTTGTGGGTTTGTTCTTGCTATTTTGTGTGTGTATCTGTGTGAGTCCATCGGTGGTTATGTTTAACTTACTCTCTCTATGGTTGGTGTCTATAATTTATCCTAGGCATGCTGTATTGCCGACTTTTATGATCGGTTCTGCGATGCAATATGAGCACAAGCACAAGATGTGCATCTGAATATTTTTATAGGTTTTTTCCTTTGTATTTCTTACTATATCTTTCCTTTGTTTGGTATAGGTTATGGGTTGGATGGACTCTTGTAAGTGTAGTTTGGCTTTCCTTAATGGATTCTTCTTCCGATAAAAAAAAAAAAAAAAAAAAAAAAAAAAAAAAAAAAAAAACTGTGCTAACGTAATCCACTAACAAAATAGTACTGCAAAGTAATTTAAAATCATATTCCTACTCTCAACACTCCCATAAGTAAAAATCTGTGCAGCTCTACTCCTCAGAATATGAAAAAATAAAAAATAAAAGAAGTAAGCTAGACAACCCAGTAAATAATTAACCATCACTGCAAGCTAGATCAAGTATACAAAGAAAATAGTCGATAACCAATAAATATATTTTTGCTACAATTCAATATAATGAACTGAAAAATCTAAAATCCCTGAGATATTGATTCCTGACTATGTTTTAATTTAAAACAATAAATAACAATTCCAATAAAAAAATCAAGACAAATCGATACAACGATTTAACGTGAAAAAAAACCACAATTGGAGCGCCTCCAATTGTGATAAAAAATCATGGGCCAAAGTCACAAAACAATCTACTAAAAAGATAAAAAAGGAGGTACACATAAGTACTCTCAATTACCTAGCAAATTCATGCCCGAATTGAACAGACTCTAATGTGCCTCTTCCACCACCGTCTTCACTACAAAATTGTCTTGCTCAACATTGAATCCACGACGATGAGCCACTCTGGAATCCACCAAAGCTTCAGAACCAAATTTCCTGAAATCTACCGAAGAAAACCACACTTTTTTGTGAGTAAAGAAAATAAACAAACCCCTTGATAATGTTAATATGAAGTTCATATATCCATTGATCACTCTCAAATCATCAAGGAAACACTCAGAAAAATACCTTTCAATATAGAAAACCTTGGTAGCTTTGCTCTCCCATAATTTGGAAGGCCTAAACCCTAAAAACAGCAAACGACGCACTTCATAGAAAATAGGATCACGAAGATCGCTCGAGTGACCACTTCATCGCTTGAGCAAACTCACTGAAACACGTACTCATCGCTCGAGTAAATAAAGGATTCTCTCAGAAGTTCAATCTGCTCTACAAAAATACTAGATGATGCCATTCAACGCTCGAGTGCACAAGTGACCGCTCAAGCGGTCAAACAACTTTGGATAGACCAAAAGTTCGGGTAGCTCAATCCCTATACATAGTTAGCGAAGTGGCAAACGTGAAAGTCTCAAGATCACAAACTCCTCTGAATAGACACAATTTGGGTTGGATTCGCATCTAAACACTCACATCCTCACTGAAACAAAAGAGTGAATAAAATTACAACTGAAAGGAGTTTTGTTAAATGGGATTGCCAATTACAAAAACTTAACATGAACAATTATTTTGTAAGATAGTTGCATAGCTAAAAATAAACAGTGTAGCAATACATTTTAACTGAGAAGACAATAAGATAATTTAAAGTAATTTCATTGTTAAAATCGATGGTTCAGCATTTAGATGGTTCAATGATTCGATTCACAAAACTCAAGTCTTTGTGACAACAGTCACTCAGCTCGTGACAAGGCCCAGAACCACATATTGGCCGATGGTGAAGCCCCAAAAGAAACTCGTTTACGTGTCAATAAATAACCCCCATTGGCTAGGGTCCAAATCAGTGGCGGAGCTAGGAATTCAGTGAAGAGGGGGCACAAATTAATGACAACATTGATTTTATTTTTTTTCTCATAATAAACAACAATGAGATATTACTAAACTTAAATATTAAGAGTCCATTTAGATAAATGTAAATTTTAAATTAAAGTATTTGAGGTTAAATTTATACAAATATTGGGGAGTAACTAATTTATGTGGATTGGAAAATTAAAAAAGAAGATAAGTTGAGATAGAAATGATATATTTTAGTGGAGAAATTCTATAAAACACACCGCTAAAAAGGTGCCTATCATATGCCATAGCTATGATCTTCGTGGTCTTTAGTTAACACATTGTAGTGCTGGATATAACTTAGTTATAACTTCTTGTAGTTGATATTTTGGTTATGACTAAAGAGGTCTTTGGTTATATATTATCAAGTAATGGTTAGGTATGACTCATTCTGATGTTAATTATGTCCTATTGTGATTTTTTTTTCTTCTTTTTTTGTTATAATTGAAGTTGTGTTGCTTGGTTATAATTTATATAGTGGACATTTTAGTTATGAATGAAAATAATTTGGTTATGAAAATTCATAATATCAATACTATAAAGTCATAACTTGGTACACCCCTTTTAGAGGTGTATAATAGAATGATCGATTTTAGTAGGTTCCTTGTAATTAGAAGGAAATAGAGGGACTTATACAATTTTAAGAAGGGATATTATTGTAATTTTATAGAGGATATATATATAGGGGTACTAATATAATTATCAAAACTTTAGGGGGGCACGTGCCCCCTTGGTACTATACTGACCCTGGTCCAAATCATAGTCAAGCTAAAGTGATGTTCAGAATTCAAACTCCCTATAAATAAAGTGTTCAACATTTTCAAAATAAATATTTGGTACAAACTTTCATAGTAGTTTCACAAATTTTCAAAATAATTTTCAGAATAATAGTCGATGCTATTTTATATTTGACCCATATTTTTATTTTAAGAGAATAAAAAAGCTATAAATAAATATTTATAATTTCAAATGATTTGATAGAAATAAAATGAACCAACAATGATAGAAGGTTACTTACCTTAATAGCTAAACTAAATCTCAAAACCCAGGTAGGCACAAACAGATTTTCTAAAATCCCTAAAAGCATTGAGTGTTTTATTTCTCAATAAAAATTTAATAACTAGTAATACAAGAAGGGTCTTACCTCAATCAATGGGTGTATCAGGATATCTCCAATATGCTGAGCCCTCAATTCCTACCGCAGCCTCAGACTTGAATCCTCTGTGAAATCGTGATGATAAAATAATACGAAACCTCCTCTTTTTTTTTTTTACTTCTTTTGAATGCACTCTCACTGCCGCAAGATATAATAGCACAAATTCACTTTAGTAATCTAATTCTCCAAAATTAAAATGTTACCCATCTAAGGTACAAAATTACAGTATCACCCATAGCTAATTTCTTATTATTTTAACTATTATATAACCAAAACTCGGATTTCACGTGAATAAACTCGAGCATGTTCTGGATGAAGTCGTGGTGGATTATATAATACCATTAGAAGTACAAATTTAAAGGATTTATATTTCATTATTTGATTATAACTTTTTGATGAGACTTAAGGCTTGGTTTGATTTGGTTTGGTTTGGTTTATTTGATTATAACTTTTCTTATTCAGATTAGATTTCAATTGACATTTTATCCAATAAAATTAGTAAATTTTTTAATCCTACAACTAATGGGGAGGCTTCTTTTCCAGTCTGATATCAGACTAAAGGGTGCTATTGGCCCATATGCTTGCCTTGCTCTGGGTCCATCTCAATAATCTAAACTTTTTAATGTGTAGGGCTCATCGACTACCTCATCTCTGCAAAAAGTCATGTTGATCGAATATTAATAACCATTTGATCAAATCACAATTGTGTCAATGACAAGTATGGTTTTATATATTGCAAAACAAACGTGGACAAGAAGAAATTACATATCCCAGTAATCTAGTTGGATTATTAATCCTACACAAATCTCTTCTATTGTTAATCCCCTTACTATTAATCTACAGCCACTTGCACAAAGAGTACTTCAATCTACAGCTAAAGCATGCCACGATAAGCATGGCAAGAGACAGCCTTTCGATAGTTATCGCGGTGATATGCTAGAAATAGTGTCCTGATTTGCAGAAGGATCTGTGGTCGAAGATGACTTCATATGAGCAATTCTGCCAACAGAAACTGCAGGTTGTCTTGGTTGAGGAAGTGTTGCTGATTCACTTCCCAACAAAACAACCACAGATGACATATTGGGCCTATCTGCTGGATCTTCTTGGACACACAAAAGCCCGATATGAATGCATCGTACAACTTCTGTCACGGGGCATGATCCCGCCAACAATGGATCCAAAAATTCCAATTCTTTTCCTTCATTCCATAGTCGCCATGCCTGTAAAATCGAGTTGTTTGGAAGCACATCTAATTTAGAAGGGGGTAAAAAAAAGTAGTTAACATCTAGTTATCTCAGTATTGTAATTCAAGGGGGTGAGAAAACACACATAAGCAAGGAGTGTCGGAGCATGTTTCGTAAGGTAAAAGCCACTGTTTCTTTTCCCACTAATGATCTCCAGCAAAATTACTCCGAAACTAAAGACGTCAGATTTCATAGAGAATAATCCTCCCATTGCATATTCTGGAGCCATGTATCCACTGCATCAAATATGATAATTACATATTATGGTATATTGGAAGATACATATTGACCGATATTTAAAATTATTGGAAACACTTACTATGTTCCTACAACTCTTTTGGTGTTAGCAGTGTTTTGGTCTTCACCAAAAATTCTCGCCATTCCGAAATCTGGTATCTTAGCGACCATTTCTTGGTCCAATAGAACATTATTAGGCTTTAGATCCCTGTATATGATTTTAAGCCTTGAGTCTTCGTGCAAATAAAGTAGTCCTCGAGCAATGCCACGAATAATATTAAAGCGCACACACTTCTCTAAATTTAAAATCGTAGAAAAAAAATTAAAGCTCTCCAGGTAATGTTTTGTCTATTTTCTTAGCTACATTGAGCTGTAAGTAAAGTCTATAGATGAAAAATACAAAAACAAACCAAATAGGAAGAGATCAAGGCTTTTGTTAGGCATGTATTCATATATGAGCAGCTTTTCTTCTCCCTGTATGCCACAACCCAAAAGTCTGACAAGGTTTCTGTGTTGAAGTTTTGCAATTACTATGACTTCATTCATGAACTCCTCTAATCCTTGCCATGATTTCCTCGATAGTCTTTTAACTGCTATTTCCTTGCCATCAGACAAGACACCCTACAAATTTCAGTTGAATATATATATTTTTTATCAGCAAAAAAGAGGGCTTTATTGATGAAAATCAAATTACAAAGCAAATGACAAACATCAACAAAAAATGAGAGTGCAAAAAACATCAAAACAAAACCGAACGATCCCAACTATGTTGGCACCGAAAACAAGCCCAATCATTTGCTACCACAATACCGAGTTGGTGAGAACCCAAAAAAAACAGACAAAACAAAAGCAGAATAATAGAAAAATAAAACAAAGCAACAGAGTAATTGTGCTAGCAAAAACAGAATAGTTTCAGTTGAATTATTACTGATCAAAAAGGATAAACGCCTACCAATTTTAGGGTCCAAAAATCGGCCGATATTTTGGACTTTTGATATTCATAGATATATCAGCCAGTATCAAATATCGCCAATGATATCGATATGTATCCAGATACTGTCATTTAAAACAATATTAAGCACTACCTGATTGATCACGTTAAACAGAGAAGAAACTGTTACCTTGTAAACAGTGCCGAACCCACCTTGTCCGAGCTTATTTGAATCAGAGAAGTTGTCTGTGGCTGCCATTATAGTAGCCAACTCCATGAAAGGCAGTTCCTGAGAACTGACAAATTCACCTTCTTGATTAATGTCAACACTTGGTGGGTTTGCCAATTCTTGTTGTTAGTATATTATTATATGTTAGTGTTTAGCTTTAATAATTAGTGTCCCCAGCTTTATGCTTTCGGTGCCTCGCATCCAATGTACATCACAGGCTATAAGAAGAGAGCTAGGCTCCCTTTGTAAATTAACAAAGTATATACACATCTCATTGTTTATCAATCCGTATCACCATCAATTTATCTTACA